CGAACTATCTTCAATACTAAATATGAAAAATTTTTAATGTAATGCATCCATTACTTTTGATTCAAGTGCAAATATTCAGACCATTTTGCTCGTGATTACGGTTTTTGGAATTACGGTGGGGCATCCACACAACATGATTCCCAGTGAGTGCTTGAAAAAATTGATCATCTCTGGGGATCTTATTGAGACTAGCCCTATTAGAAAATCACGTAAACAGACAGCATAAAGCTTTGTTCTCGTACCTTGGTCCTCATTAGTAATACAATTACATTTAAAATTTTCAGCGAGGAGAAAAAATAAAAGATTTGATAAATCTGCTTGGTGATAGAAAAAGTCCTGCTCACCCATCTATAAACCAGTCTATAAACCATTAGTCACTATTACTCATTTAAAAAGTTATTGCTTTCAGATTGGCAGATCAACATAATATATAAGTAATATTATAAATATTGCTAGGTATATAAGGTTTGTCTCTTATAGAAAAATAATTACATTTACATTTAAAATATATGCAAATAGAGGTACTTGATACACTGAAAGAATGTAATATAAATAAATAAGTGATGCGGTATATAAAACATAATTTACATTAAATTACATAAAAACGAAAACACATGCTTCGAAGTCGTGAATGATTCAGCACCATCGAGAGACGTACTTTTACTTTTTAATGCTCACTTACTTACTACATTCATGACGACAGATGCTTCTACTGAATCCTTCACTTTTTTCTAAACCGCGCAATTCAAATCGCAAAATTGCAAACGCTTAGAGATTAAATTGCCGCGTAAATGCTATGGTTGTTACCAACGTAACAGACAAGAGCATAATCTTCATCATTCAAATATGTCTAAATAAAAGCAAGCCGAATCACGGGGAAAGTGAAAACAAAAGTTTCACGGCCAATTTAAGAGAAGCGCTCGCTCTCGGCGGATTTTTATTTGACGTTCCCTCTACCGACCTTCATGCTCCCATTCTAACGCTGCTGGTGTAAAAGTACAGATTCACACTTGCAAAAAATCTCTGGCAAAGCGTCAATTATTAGGGGTATCATAATATGTATACAGATAAAATTACTTCATATTTAAATTATGAAGTTTCTTATTTAGATAAGAAGTAATTTTTTGTCGACTTCCTGAATCTTACTTATCCATCAGATCTTGTATATCTCACACGTCGTTATTCCATTTAGTAAAGAGTCGCCTTATACTTCGCCTACTGGTACGAGTCTGACACTCGAGAACCTTTCTTTCCCATCAGTTGTTGGTTCTTTGGCACATTGGCACTTTAGCTTACAAATTTGTTAGGCTATGTCGGTTACTCTGGTTCATTTGCGGATTTCCTGATTACGAAGTCTATCACATGGGAAACCTCCAAGCATAGCCCTCTTCATAACTTCCGCATAAGGCCAGTAGTTAAGGACTGATATTCATATGTCATCACTACGTAATAATAATATATATTCTTTGTTATTATTGGGAACACGCTCTCAAAATCGTGTTTGGTCTTGCATAGGGGAGGCGGGAGGCCTATGTTCAGCAGTGCAGTTGTGAAGGGCTGCAATGAGGATGATGATGATAATTTTAAGCCCATAAAAATGTTGTTTACCCCTCATTGGATTTAGAATAGCGACTCTTAAATTATCTAACCATACTGTAAAGGTGCTCATGAGCATCTTTAGAAAATCGATATAAAAATTCGTGATCAAACTCGTAACATTTACAGTCATATCCTTTTTTTATATAGAAGAGGGGGCAAACGAGCATGCGGCTCACCTGTTTAAAAGACACTTCATACGAGAACAGTCATTTGGATTAAGTATATTTCACTTTTCTTGGACTGTGATGTTAAGTGACTACCTCCGTCTATGATTAACCACAACACCAGGGGAATTGCAGGTGCGTTGCCGGCCCTTTAGAAAGGAGTAAGCTCTTTTCTTCACCATCCTCATCCTCTTTAAATATGTTTAATACGTAAGTAAAAACTGACATAACGCGCGTCACCCAGCTCACTAAGTCACTCACTTCAGCCCGTCACTAATCCACTGCTGAATATAGGCTTTCCCCAGAGATGAACGAAACTACCTAGTAAATAGTTGTCTAGTCAATAAGTTAATTATTGTTAATGAATCAGATCAGAAGTTACAGTATTTTTACACAGAACACAGAATTTTTGTACACAGAACGAACCTCTAACGGCGAGGGTTTGCTTTTGCTCAGCCATCTAGATTTAGATATAATGGTAAAAGATATAACGTCCCGTAACAGGGGCAGGGCGCGGACCGTGAACTCATAAACAAGCAATTTAAGCTTACCACGAGTGGTAAAGGGGAATATTAGAAATGTTTATAGCATTGTTAATATTCGTTAAAAAAAGGGTTCCTTGCTCACACATCACACGAAACAGAGCACATAAAGCTGCTATTTTATGCTTGTATTCTGTGACGGCGCAGTTCTTCCCCAGCCGAGTCGAACCATTCGTCACGCTGTAGCCACAATACGGCTAATAACACCGCAATATGTACCCTAGATCACCTATACTTTAAAAGAGGTCAGCGGAATCGAACTTAGGCTTATTGCGGTTTATGCATTGTGGGTAATGTCGTTGATCCCGATGTGGAAGTTGTCGCTGAGGTTGAAAGAGGGCAGTGAAACATCATCATCAGTTCAGTAGAGTGGTTCATAAGTTTAAAACACACTTAGTAAACATTTTACTAAGTGTGAGTCTTTTGTGTAACTTACGTAACGTAGAAATCCTAATCAAATTGACAATATCCCTAATATACTTAATACATTTATCTACATGGTAAAACAGTTAGTTTAGTTTTACAGGTGTTTTTCGTAGGAAAAAAATACTGCCTGTCCACCACTGGACTGTATATTTGAACCCGATATGCGCTGCCCGTGTTAACCGAGCGTTCATCGAATCAAGGAGTGCTACGCAGCTGGCCGGTAGATAAACTTACACTGCCCCCCCCCCCCCGGTCACTACCCTTAGTTCTCACAAAATACCATCTTAATGATGCTGTATTTTGTATGGCGATTGTAGAGAACTGGGGACCCATTTCAAGTGAAACGAGGCATTTTATCTTAGCCCTCAGGAGATTTACATTATGGTTTTTAATTGAGGATTGATGTAGATGCCTATGACATCCGGTGGACTGCGTGCTCGTCTGTCATTCTTACTCTATAAAAATATTACCCGTGCGAAGCCGAGGCCGGGAGCTAGTTAAATTATACCTGATAGTAATTAGATATCATCGTCTTGATTACTGAATGTCACAAAAAATTACACAGTAAAGTCTAGGAAACTTATAAATAAGGTCATAGTATCAAGGCCAGTTAAGACACGATAGAGGTCAAGTTTAGGTCTCTGAACTCGGCCACCGTATCGCCTAGATTTAAACCAATGCTGAAGTTTTGAATAAGTTGCATATTAACATAATCTCCGTTTACAAATAATGTCTTCTAAATAACTATTTTATTATATACCCACAACTAAAACAAATTCTTAATTCCAGATATAAAAAAAAAACATTAACCCAACTAGTAACTTTGCCCGTATTGTGGGGCTGTTTTGAATACATAAATTGCACAAGGGTAAACACTGAAATCAGAAATAATAATGGAAGGCCATAACGAAATAATTATTGTTATTTGGAAGAATGGGGATCGTAGAAAATATTAAAAATATTCTATGCACATAATCTTTATGCCGTTGCTAAAAGTGGTGGTTTGCCATAGTTGCAATGAGTGACGGTCTTGTAAAGCATGCAGAAAGTCGGTGCGTACAGTAAATATCGCGAAGTAGTTGTTCATTTATTACATTTCTTTAATGCATTATAAAAATATGTGTTAGTTTTATCCCACAGAGTTCAAAATCGCGAAGAAATACACGCACACTCACAAAACTATTGTGAAGATTTTTATGGTTCAATGTAAGTAAATAATAATTTTGAGAAAGGAAAACTTGTAATATTTACAACTTGAAAACTTGTTTACTTTGAGAAATGTTCAATAAACTTTTCATAGTCGTAATAACTAGGGATGGGCCGAATATGGATTTCACCGAATACGAATATTCGGCCGAACGTTTGGTAAACGGTAAACAATATTCGGCGGGATTACCTCAGTACCTAACCAATTTATGTCGAAACTTTTTACCGTAAAGCGCGCGGAATTAGCGCCGAAGCCTTCCCCTCGCTCCCCCGCTTCACCCACACCTGACATATTATTGAATCATCTACTATTATTTATTCTGTAATACTGAGCAAATTGCCGGCATATGCTTATGTTTTGTCTATTTTTGTGAGAAAAAAAGTATTCCGTTCTTAGCGAAAACTGATAAGTTTTGATTTGATATGACGAAAGTCAATGGCAGGAGATCTACTATTTGGACCAATTTTAGAGAAACAGACGACTGTAATGTAATGTTTCTTTGTTTGATTCCAAACAAAAGTTTATCAAGCTTTCTATTTGCTAAATTGGAAATAAATCTACAGTGTCTCAAAAACATAACGCTATATAATTATATTTAACCCATAAATAAAATATACTTTCAACAGTAAAGTTATTAAAGACATGGCATTACTCAATTCGTACATTTATATACAGTGGATACTTTAAGTACCACTTTAAAGAATGTTCGGTTATTTAGCCGAATATTCGGCCGAATACGAATATTCGGTAAACCTGCCGAATACCGAATATAAAACGAATATTCGGCCCATCTCTAGTATTAACACTAGGTATAGTTCTCTAAGTACACTCAAAAATAACAACAAAATTTTAAAAAATACCTTTCGAAAACATATTATCGGACGTATGTACAGATTATCAGAGTCAAAATTTGAATCATGTACACTTCATGTTAACTTCCTGAGCAAAATAATTTTTAATTAATTTGTGCGGAATATTTTATCTTCACGTACGGTCTTTGCAAATGCCCTAAAAGAAGGGTGACTTTTGTTTCGAACAAGAGTGTATGTTTGTGAAAACTGTATGGTAACAAACCACCCTAAGTGCATAATACAGTCATACCTCCAGTGTCTGCAAGATAGTAATTATAATCCTATTTGCGAAATTTGCACTAAAGGTTTATCTGAGGGAGAATGCATACGGCTTACTTGCTACCATGTATTTCATTGGGAATGTGCGGAATCACGATATCGTGCACTTCCACGCACAACAGCACCAGCAGGCTATCAGTGTCCATCCTGTGCCACACCAGTATTTCCGCCACCAAATTTGGTATCACCTGTTGCTGATGTTCTTAGGGAAAAGTTGGCTGGAGTGAATTGGGCTCGAGCTGGTCTTGGATTACCATTGCTTTCAGATGACCAGGATATGAAAGGTGCTGCTGGCTGACGTAGCCAATCCCCAATGGACAAATACCACTATTCTAATAACATAATGGACGATCAACGTGGAACACCCGTTGGTGCAAGTGATGACGAGTCAATAAATCGTTCTGCGACAAGCAGTCCACATTCCATAGTTCAAATTCCTGATGAGCCTGTTAATATATATGATGGTACATCAAAACGAAATGACAGTTTATCAAGCATAACAATACGACATAAGTACACAATGGGACAATAAGTGAATAAAGTATATTCAGTTATATAGTATACTACAGATTGTGGTTTTGAGCTGCACAAGCATCGAGGAATGGTTTCAAACCAGTCGACCACTCTAATGTTTTAACGAATTTCCATCATGACGAAAATAAATACAAACAAAAATCAACATTTGCCTGGATAAACAGATGGTGGGAGAATACACTTCCCACTTTACGGGTGAGAAGTGCCGGTGGCATCTATAGATGCTACTGGATTTTGTTGTCTGTGCTGATTGCAGTCATAATTATTTTATTACTTCTTAGTCACCGAGATGTCGATGAAGATACGCCATTTGGATTTGTCCAATTTGAAGATGGAAGAATATTACAGAAAAATTAATTTATTATGCCTCTTATAATTAAAAAATATGTTTATAAAATCAAGCAATTTTCAAAGTGATATGTATATTAAGTTTAATTGTACGAATATTTATCTTGTACAATTTTGGAAATAAACTTAATAATGTATATACAACTTTGTTTAGGTAAATTTCTTACACACGAAGGTTTCCCCACGTTTATCTTCACCGCCGATGTCATAGTAAATGAACACATTTAGATTTAAAAAAATAAACTTCAACGGTGTCGACGGTGGGATTTACAGGATTAACAGGGGATATCCTGATATCACCGTCGATATCAGGGATATTCTGAGGTTCCATTACTCGTTATGTACAAAATTTAAGGAGCACTTAAATTTTTATCACAAAGATTTTTTATAGAGCCTTATGCTATGTCCGAAAAGGGGCACAATTTAAATTAAAAAAAAGTCGACAATTCAAAAATTTATTAGTTTTGGCTTTACTTAATCTGTAAACACAGTTCCATTATCATCATTATTACAACCTTGTGAATATATAAGCCTATAACAAGTAAATTTAATTTAAGGAAAGTTGTAAAAAAAGAATGTTCAAAGTTATATCCCATCTGTAAAATATACTCCAGTTAAAACTCGATAAAAATATGTTTTAGCCATAGAACATTATTACACTAAGGAGTAAAGTACCTATTATTAACACTAACATGTGTAAGGTAAGAGAGAAAAAAACGAACCGCCTAGTGTGACTAATTACACGTTACAGGGTTACAGCGTAAGAATAAACTTATTGTACCTGGAATTTTTAACGAAATAAAATGTTTAAGGGAAACACCTCTTTATAAATACCATATTATATATAACATTTAAACATATTAATGTTAAGTTATCTTTAAAAAAATATTATTTATTAATTTATAAGTGAAAAAACCTTATATGTATTGTTGGATTATACAATATAAGAAGAATTTAAACATACAGCCAAACATAGGCCTCCTCTAGTATAGGCCTGGCATAAATGCAAAGCCCTCATTCACCTGCATCCATCGTTAGGCCACACGAGGCCGTGACTCCCCGGAATGGATGGTCTTCCTAGATTACGCTTGCTGAGTACGAGAGAGTACTAAGATTTTATCAATTGAACACAGTCTAAAGTACGTACGTCTATGGTAACCATTTATTGCTTGACTTTTTTATAGAAGAGGGGGCAAACGAGCATGCGGCTAACCTGATGGTGACTACCGCCGCTCATGAACAACCGCAACACCAGGGAAATTGCAGATGCGGTGCCGGTGTTTTAGAAAGGAGTAAGCTCTTTTCTTGAAGATTCTTAAGTCGTATTGGTCCGAAAAATGCGCCGTCAGTAAACAATTCCAAAGAGAAGTTGTACGAGGAAGAAAACTCCTAGTAAAACGGACAGTGATGGACCGCCAAGCATCCAGATGGTGAGGATATGTTGAATTCTGACGCGATGTGCGTTTGTGAAAGGCGGTAAGAACTAATCCGAACAATTCCTCAGAACACTCCCCGTAATAGATACGATAAAAACGGAAACGGAAACCTACTTAGTATAATTTAGTAACTAAGTATGATATATTAATGATGACTGTGTAGCCTATTAGTAAGAGAACTTTCATTACCATTGTGCCTCATAGTTCAAAAAACGACAAGCTAACCTTCGTGAATTTTGTAGCGGTATAATAGAATCCATCACCCAAATTTCGATCCGTGGTGTCGTAACAAGCTGGATAGAGGTTAAGACCTTCGAAAGGGAGTCAGGGACAACTATCCTGTCACATCCAGCTGTGGACTGAATTGGCTGAAAAAGAAGAAAATGTCCTGCACAGTTGTCGGCCAGACCTTATAGTGGTTTGTAAAAGTAAACTGAAAGCATATTTAATTTATTTAAATATATTTTTCATGATGTGGAGTCGTGATTAAATATAGTATCAATTTATTTACATAACGATGCGTGTGTAAACATATAAATAAAATATAGTTCCAATTCATTTACATAGTGATCGATGTGTAAATAAATAATACAACAAAAAGTACTGGAAAATCAGGGACCGCCTTTTCCGATTTAAAGCTCTGAATCTATTTACATACAAAAACAGAATTTCCTCGTTATTTCGCTTCCAAATACAATCCCCAAACAGACAGAAGTTCACTGCAATATTTAGGATTACGAACCGCACAATTTATTACCCGACTCACTTTAATAACAAATTCCTCTAAATCTCTTTTATATATAGTATGAAAAGTCTCTGTGACGTTATTACCTATTTGATGCACTGTATTATTTAGGAAAGTAGTTTGTCTAGTCTATCAGACGTTGTTCTGCCCTTTCCGATAGGTGGCGCGAATAGTTTCGCTCTTAATTCCTTTTTAAAATTGTTAATAAATTGTTTATAAGCGCTACCTATACCAGCCTATACAGATCTACTACTAGTCTAACTGATTGATTGGATGACAATCTGTAGAAACAGTAACTTCTTAACATAAAACATAACTTAAGCTCTCACGTCTGTTACTGAGAGGCAGGGAATAGGGAGAGACTAATAAAGTCTCTCCCTATTCCCTCCTTCAATTGGCACGATTCTGACACAACTCTCTCGCTTCTTTCATATCTATGTACCTAAATCTTGGCCGGTGACCTACTATCTTCTTTCGTATTCTTATACATGCTCGTCGATTAAGGATACTACTCTTAATTTGGCCAATCTTCAATATACCGGAAATTTGGTCGATATTCAATTAACTTATACTTCTACTTGCATGCAACTTCTTCTTAATTCAGGAGCTTGAAAAAGTCCACCACAGGGTATTTTTATCACCGCCACGCTTGCTAGGCGGATTTAGAAATCGCTTTAGTTATAATATAAGCACTTTAACATTGCTCCCCGACGCCGAACTGAATATTGTCATTATATGTGTACCATATTATGGTATTAATAGTCAATAAAGTTATACCAGTGTCATATTAGATTGGAGGCCTTGACATCTATCTAGGATTTTGCTACACTCGCTATTTATGACATACTAGATGGAGTGATGGATTATGTTATGCGGCCACAACTCGACCTTTTTATATTATAAATATACACACACATATCATACATATATACAATATAGTACAAACATATTGACTGCCTCGTTGGTCTAGTGCTTGTAGTAGTACGACTGCTAATCATGAGGTCCTCGGTTCGAATCCCGGGTCGGGCCAAAAAAACAATTACGGGGTTTTTCCCTCAAGATATTCTCAGTAGCTGCCCGGAGTCAGGAAGTTGGCGGTGTCTCTCCCCTGTGCCTCGGAAAGCACGTCTGGTCGTGTCGGTTTACCGTCCCATCGGATTATGAGAGTGAGGAAATGGAGAGTGCACCTGTGCTTGTACATACACTTGGGCACTATAATCCTGTCCTGCGCCGTTGGCTAGTCTCTGTTGAGGCAGGCCGCTATAGCCGAAATTCGGTCCGGAAAACATTATTATTATTACATATTATATGCATGCATGTTATACAGAAAGAAAAATTCATTTTAGCCTATGAAAGAATGTAACAGCAACAATTTTTACCACGGAATATAAGACCTTAAATATACGGTATTATGGGCTGGTCACGTCTTTTTTATTATATAGAATAAGGGTGGCAAACGAGCATACATTCCACCTGATGCTGAGTGGATGAAGTGGCCCATATACCTCTTCATTTATCCTCGATTAAGAATAAAAACGCAGGTGCGTTGTCACCCCTGAGGAATAAGACGGAATGCCTCGTAACCAATAAAAAAGGGTCTCCGGATCTCTACACTCACCATACGAAACACAGCAGTATTAAGCTGCTGTTTTACGCTAGTATTCTGTGAGAGCGTGGTCCTGCCCCGGTCGAGCCGACCCATTCGTGTTACAACTATAATAATATAGCTGCAGCGTGGCTCTACCACGTATAATTATAATAATACCACGTCTGTCGCAGAAGTGACAACCGGTGGAGTAGATAGACGTGTTATGGAGTGTTGACCGCGTCTACGGCCAGCATTACACATGGACGCGGTCGGAGGATAATGATTACATGTTAGTATACTTTATTAACTACGCACACTCACACACACAGATAGAAAGTATCTTGTATTTAAATCTGACCAAATTATAGCTTTATAACTAACTCCCTTGTCCTCATTTATAGAGAGGTAGATGAAAAACCAAAAAAAAAATAAGTATCTTTAGATAAAGCAAGCTGCTTTATTTAATTTCATTTATTGATTAAAAAGAATTTAGTACCTACAACTAATAAGCAGAAATATAAGTAAAACTGAAGTAAAATTGTTCTGAATTTCAAGGAAATAAAGATAAACTCAATCCAAGCCGATAAATGTAACTCTCATACTCGCTCAAGTAGTATTTCAAGTAAATTGTATTGAACATTTGACTT